TTCCTCCCACGCGGTTCTGGCGAGCTAAGAAAATGTTTATCTGCCTGAGCTTGGCCTTCATAATTCCATTCCATCACAATCTTGCTATTAATGAAAGAAATATTATTGCAAATTCCTGTTTCCTACAGGAAGGTCAAAGGATGTTTCATGTGACTTAATATACTAGTCCATATAGAGCAGTGAGGGTGGACCCTGACATCACTTCCTCATCTAGTTATTAAATTTACTCTTATTGTAGGATTTTAGGAGCTGTAGTTCAGCAACATCTGGAGAGCTTCAGATTCCCCATCTCTGTCCCAGCATAATATAGATAAGGACCAAGCAATCAATCATGCTTACTCCATGGAGAAGTGAAGTTTTATACTTTAGAGAGGTCAGTACAGGAACCATGTGGATGATGCCATAAACTGTATTAATAGAAAGATAATCTCATGTTTCCTTAAAGCCCAATCAGTTTATGGTGCACATTTTCACAGCCAACTACATTTGTACCATAGTACATTTTTTAGTTTACAGTGGTTTTAGTTCTCCAGACTCCCTCTGAAAAAAGTCCATATAAGAGTGCAACCTCACTAGAAAGATTTAAAAATCTTTAGTTCTTTTTCCACTGCTACCTAATTGTAGAATAAATATTGAACTCTTTATGTCTCGTTCTGGTGCCTTGCAGTTGAAAAAAGAGATGCTTTTCAAGGAACCCAATTAATGCTCATGATTCCAGATGTTGGGGGGGATTTGCAAAACTTGAAAGGGATGCAGACTTTGTGCTGCCATGACTATTGGCAGAATTGTTATGCAACCAATATAAATGTCCTGCTGCCTTTAGCAGAAATTTATGAATACTAATGTGAAATGGGCCTCAACTTCCTCATAATGTTTCATGGCGCGTTTCATGGTAAGTCATCATCTTACCTGGAGATAGGTGTGGATGATCTTAAGTGAGTGCAAGTGACATATTAGCCATTGTGTATAGATCATCAAGTCTTCCTGGGTCACCAGGTTTATAGGAATTTCTTTTCCAGTCAGAAAATTTTCCCGTACATTTGAAAGTCTTGCAGCTCTTTGAACAGCATCGTTGTACTCCTGCATAATTTGAGCCACTTGTTTCTACAAAGAGAGGAGGAAGATGGAAGTGGTTTTCTTCTCCCAGAAAGATGAATTAATGAACTAGCTAGAACATCAAGTACCATTATTAAACAATATGATACCTTTAGCCACTTGAGTACTCTCCAGCAGCTTCTTTGGTGTCTTGATAAAACAAGTTTATTTGGTCAGAAGTAGCATGATTTCTGCTTTATTTTGCAGATAAATGAATGCACTTTAAAATATTGTTCCCAGTTTACCCACAAATGACCATTTTAAGAATTCTTATATTGAGGTTACTTCCTCTCTTATTATTTTTTTCCTAGTAGGGTGGCATCTCAGACAAAGGAGGAATTTTATATTCTATTTCTTTACTCAGAGGATTATGAACAATTGCATCTTTTCTTCACTGTAATTCTGTATGAAGTGACAGTATAAGGCTCAGTATAACAAGTATATATAGCTCCCAAGGGTGGTTTAATTTGTTTTCCTGAACATTACACAGGTTTAGACTAGATAATTCTTGTGGTCCCTTCCTATTCCACAGTTCTATGATTCTATCTAAGTTGTTATTCTTTAGAGGTACATCAAAATTCCCCTTCTGTGCTTATTTACTAAATAATTCAGTTTGCGATAAGGTTGCCAGGGTCTTGTCCTGTCTTCTCTCTGCCCAACTGTTACCTGTCTCTCTTCTGTTTTAACTACCCCCACTTCCTCTTAGCTTCTGCAGCCTTCCTATAAGGCAGAGACAATTCCTTACATGTATTCTACAAGAATAACAAACCCCGTTTCATTACGGTATCCTACAGTTCTCTTTTCTACATGCCTTTTTAATAAGATTCTGTTAGTCAAAAAAATGAAAAAGGAAGCTGGCAAAATGTTATCAGAGGGCCAAAACAAAAAAAGCAAAGTGCCAGCCTAGTATTATATTTATTTTCAGGAATGCCTTGGAGACCCACATATATCCTTCCAAAATGATAGAGAACATCCTGGGAATTTAGTTCAATTTCTGGTAAATCGGTGTTTTGTCACTGGCCTTTCTCATCATGACAGCCATTTTATGAGCAGGTCCACTACATACTCTTAAAATTCCAAATGTTCTCCTAGTCAAAAGGTTGCCTATTCTCACTAAAGTTTGACTTTTTCCTATTTATAAAAGTCTTGGCTGAGGACTAGAAGTATAACATTTGTGGGAGGAAAATGCTTCCTAAAAATACATTCATCTCTTTGGCACCATCTGAAGGTTTCAACAATTCTTCCTAATAGCTGGCATAACTAACAAAATGGCTGCTATCACATTACTGATCCACTAATCCCCTGGTTTTAGAACTGATGTATACATGCAACAGATACAGATATTACAATTTCTATAGATATTAGCCTATCAAATTATTATTGTTGGTAGATTTTAATACTCCTGTTCAAGTCCTTGCATACAGAAATAGACATATTAGTCAGATGTCAACTAATTTTACATGAGCAGGTTTTTAATTCCATTGTGTAAATTGATCTTACAGAAAGGAAATTAGATGCACATGTACTGTATAGCTTTGTCTCTTCACTTAACGAACATTAGGTCAAACTCATACTTAAGTTCTTACTACTTGTCTTGAAGATAAACATGTTACAGTATATTTAACAACTGTGCAACTCTGAGATTTCCATACCTGGTAGAAAGGGTACAGTTGTTCAATAACACTGCTGTGCTGACAAAATCTTTTCCATCTAAGCAAATGTAAGTATTTGCTTTGGACTAACTGTGGGATTCTGTCTATAAAAAACTTCATAGAAATAAGACATTACAGATTAAAATTACAGTTTTGCTTCTGAAAAACCATATATCATAAATGAGTTCCTTGGAATATCAGTCACACACATATTGGCTCATTGTCCACCTGAAACGGAAAAAAAACCCTCTAATACAAAACATGCATAATGAGAGGCACAGCTTTGAGGAAGAAGCCTCATTCAGAGGCTGACAAGCCATAAAATGTCAGTTGCTCTTGATGGAAAATTCAGGCTGAAAAAAACTGTGCAACCTGTGAAAAGAAGCAAACATTACCTGATACAGCAACAAAGGTAAGCTTTCTGGTGTATATTCTCTTTTTAGACAGCTGTCTAGCTCCCTCTGCATGACATCAGTCTGAATTACAAGAGGCTTTGCCTCTGTAACCTGGGAAAAATCAACATCAGCGCAAAATTATTCAGTAGTAATATTATTTATTCAGGAGTCAGAATCCTATGAATACAGCAATGAGTTCTTCAGATTGCATATGGCTTTTTACTTAAATTTACTACATTCTGGATTAATAAAAGCCCAGAAATTGGTAGTGGTGGGTGTTGATTTCATTGTGTTAACAAAGAAATAATATAATTAATATAAAACAAAATATTTTTGTATTATTTCATTATATTATTTATCTTTATCTGATATCATTTATCTCTACCTTTTCCCTCTCATTTGTGAATTTCCCCAACTAGGCAACAACACTAAGGTGACCTTGGCCAATTTCAATAAGCTAAGCAGGGTTAGACCTGGTTAGCATTTGGATAGGAGTCTATCAGAAAACCCCAGTGCTGCAGGCCATACTAGGAAGTTGGGGGGGAAATCCCAGTAAAAGAAGGCAATGGCAAACCACTTCTGTGCTGCCGCCTATCAGCCCCCTAGGTAGACCAGACCAGGAAATCAGTTCCACAGGAAGGCTAAAATTACTTTTATTGAGACTGGCCATAATAACAGAATCTTGCAAGTATGATTGTGCTGTACCTCCTTCCCCTTCCTATACTCCTGTGAATTAGGGAGAAGTCTGCCTGAGCTTCTTCCAAAAATTATCTGGAACCTCTGGACTTAAAAATTGCTTTTTGTCCAAGTAACGGTTCTTGCACAACTCTATTAAGATCACCTTTACTCTCTACATTGCCAAGAAAACTACATGGAACTCTTCATGAACTCACTAGGAGTTGCACTCTACTAAAAGATTACACTTACTTTTTTTAATACTTACATGATAAAAAGCTTACAGCTACCATCATTACCATGCTTTGTTCCTGTCCAGAGAACTGCAGACAAGGAAGGAAGCAATGCAGGAATATTCTTCCAACTATGTTTCTCCTATTACTGTTTTTCCAATTGGTACCAAAACAACGGGGGTTGAATCTCTCGGGAATGAGGGTGCTTTGGATGGCATGGTTCCAAGATCAATGCTGACCTGCTCATGGATCCCCCTTTTTGAGAACACTGTTGGTGGTATGTAAGGTATGTTTGTTTGTTTGTTTGTTTTAATTTGCTAAAATTGTTTTTTCCCACCATGGGTTGTTTTATTATACAAAATTAAAGTCCTATGTCTTACTTCTAATCTTAATGCCAATTCTATGTCTGTGTCTATCTCCTACTTATTTTCTTATTACCAATCTTAATCTAGAGTCTTCCTATTACTATACGTTTACAACTTCTAACTTATTTAATGTATACATTTGGTATCTCTATTCTTGTACCTCTATGTTTTCCTGTCTTGACTATTTCCTAACTTGTTGTGTCTTTCTTAGTTCCCCAGGTCTTCAGCACCTGTAGCCAAACTCAGTCCATCTACATCTGAAAACCCTTTTCACACTCTTTCTCTACAGTAGAGACTTATGTATGGGGCTTTGCTCTCCCCCAGCACTGACAATCCTCTCTTCCTGGAGCTGGTTTGGGAAACTCTGCACTTGGGCTGCTGCACACAGTGGCCTTGCTTTGGTTGTTTCTTTTGCAGAAATGGTTGGCTCTTTCCCCTCACGTTGTTCAGCTCTGCTTCTCTTGCAACTTCAAGGCTTGCTGTGCCTTCCATCATCCTGGGACTGCTGCTGAGGTTTTTGCCTTTGAACTGGAGGCTTTTCCCCACTTCTTTGCAGTCTTCCAGGCTCAACTCCTCTTTTGTGTGTGTGCCATTGAGTCAGCTTTTGACTCTTGGTGACTGCCTGGAAAGTCCCTGCAGTTTTCTTGGCAAGGTTTTTTGGAAGTGGTTTACCATTGTCTCCTGCCTAAGGCTGAGAGAGAGTGACTGACCCAAGGTCAACCAGCTGGCTTTGTGCCTAAGGTGGGACTAGAACTCACGGTCTCCCAGTTTCTAGCCTGGTGCCTTAACCACTACCCCAAATTGGCTCTTAATTCCTCTTTTGCCACACCCCCGCCCCACCAATATATGTGCTGGATTTCTTGTCTCCTTTATGGGACACTCTCTCCAGTTAAGAAGGTGGGGCTGTTTTAACCCTCTTTCCCAGGCAGCACTGAAACTCTGGATTCCAGGAGGAAAGGAGAATTGCCTGCTCATCCTTCCACACGGTACGTCTATGTCCAAGCTTCTTTGGGCATCACTTGGTTCTCCAGGCTGGAACTGCCGTCCTTGCTTGCAAAGCTCTTTTCACTAGTCTCAGCAGTATTTCCACTGATTTATCTAATTTGGGGCAACTTTCAGGGCTATAGTATTGCAGGATCTTTTAAAATTGTAGAAAACACTGTTTAATAAGGATCAGAACGTTTTAATGGCAATTTTATTACTAAATAAAATAATTACTAACAATCAGAAATAAGCTTCTCCAGTTTGAATAGGATTAATACCGAATAAGCAGAAGGCATAAGTGGTATGGCTTTTGGACTATGTTGTAGTAAGTTTTCTGACAGTGATGTACTTATCACTTACCTGTAAACATTTTTTCAGTATCCACTCTCTTTCTCTTCTGAAATAATCAACATCTTTTGGAAGGGGCACAGAGCTGTGAAACATGATGAAAAATGGTTTTAGATCAGAGCAGAATTAGCAGTGAAATGTATAAGAAATTATTTAACAACAGTAAAATATATAGGACGAATTTAACAATAATCACTTGGAAACTCAAAGAATTCATACAGCTTGTACCACCATTATCCGCAGACTGAGACTCTTAAGCCAATGTGCATTCAGACCCACTCATGTTGAATATCTTTTTATTTCCAATTGCTGGAACCTTCCTGCTGAAATTAAAAGGCAAATTCAGCTCATTAGTTAATCACAAACAGAACAAATATTAGAATACTAATTGGATGAATGAATGGGTAGCAATTTATGTGGAAAATTGATGATTTGAGAGAGCCATCTACTGTACAACTGCACATTTTGAACAGAACATCACTTTCAGTAGACTTCAGTCAAAACCACAGCTGAACAGGCCAAGCCCCTGGTTTTCAACTGATGTCATGACATTCTCCAAAGTGGGTCACACCAGTAGCAATACCTCCATGAAGTGTGAGAATGAAATGAAAAAAGATTGGCAAAGGATTAAACTATGAAAAAAATGGCATCTCTATTTCCATACGGGAATCTGCTCTGTGTTGGATGATCCTAAGCATTATTTTGCTAGCATGTGAACTTAAGGATACTGTATGATAGTTTGCAAACATTGTTACGCCTCCTTTCTTTGCTATTGGTATGCAAACTGATCTCTCCCAAACTGTTGGTCAGTGTGATTTGCTGGCATAATTTGGTTAGAACCTTTACTGATTCTTCTTCTGTTGCTTCCCATATTCCTCTAGCCACTCCATCAATTTGGTAACCTTCTAATTTGGAAATGACCAGATGTGCTGATCTGATTTAATCTTCTAGTACTAGAGGTTTTTCTAAATAGAGAATATCTTCTAAGGTATCTTGGATATTGACACTTTTACTGAACAACAATATACTCCTTCCACCTTTGTTTGATGTTCTGTGAATCAACTAATGAGCAACTTTAATGGAGGCGGTATACTACACTGACAGGATTGTCCTGCTAGTAATCTCACTACTATGTTTCATACCAGGGATTTCTGGGTTACCTCTAAAGGTTCTGTAGCGCCATAGACTGTGTTGCAGCAATCTAATCAGGTGGTGATCAGTGTGTGAGTCACTGATATCACAACAGTAACTCATTCCCTCACTTATTGTTATATAAGTACACAAAAGTTGGGCTGAAAAGCCTGAAGAATATTGCTTTACTGTTATATAAGATGTGCTGGAATTATTAAAATTAAATGTGCTGTAGAGAAATACATGATTGATTGGCATCTATCATTGCTGAGCCATTGTTTTTGAAAAGCCTAGATTTATAATATGTATGTATGTATGTATGTATGTATGTATATATGTATGTATGTATGTATGATTTCTATTTATTTGGTCACCCATCTGAAATTCGTGACTCTGGGAATCTAACAACAATTAAAAACAGTATAAAAAAATGTAAAACAATAAAGGTAGTGTTGATACTCATGGTTTTGTCTGCACCACCTTGAAGGGCTGACAGCGGCTTTCGATATCATTGATCATGGTATCCTTCTGGATCGGCTCTGGGGGTTGGGAGTGATTGGTACTGTATTGTGCTGGTTTTCTTCCTTCCTCCAGGACTGGTTCCAGTTGGTGTTGATGAGGGGGAGATCTCAGCCCTTCGAGGTAGTCCAGACAAGAAGCACCAACCATGAGTACTAACACTACCTTTATTATTAGGTTATAGTAACAGTATAATATACTAGGTTATAGTAACAGAATCTTGCACGTCTGAAGGTAAATCTCTTCCCCTTCATCTTTACAGTCCAAGAAACCAAGGACAGTCGCTTCTGAATGTTTGCCAGGCTCCCGTTCCTTCTGCGGGCTCAGCTGCCTCTTATTTGACCATTGCCTAGTCTGTGGCTCCTCCTCCTCCTCCCCCTGTCTCTCAAGGACATTCTCACAGACCATTACAGCTGCTAAGAGGTTAAGAGCAGGGATGGATGCACCACCCCCATCCTGCTCTCGTCTAAGGACATCTAAAAGCACAGTCAATACTGTTTCGGTCCCATTCCCAGGCCTGAATCCTGAATGAAAGGGATCCAGATAATTCATTTCCTCTAGAATTCTCTGGAGCTGCTGCACGACCACCATTTCTATAACCTTCCCTAAAAAGAGAAAGTTGGAGGCTGGATGAAAATTGTCCACCACCGTTGGCTCCAGTGATGGCTTCTTGAGGAGTGGGTGAACCGCTGCCTCTTTAAGAGATAGAGGGATGACCTCCCTCTCTCAAAAAAGAATTCACCACCACTGAAACCCAACTATACATTACTTCCCAGGAAGCTTTAGTCATCCAGGAGGGACATGGATCTAATATACAGGCAATCAAGCTCACAGTCATGAAAACCCTGCTCGTTTCATCAGGACTAATATGATCAACCTCCTCCCAGATAACTGAACAAGACTGAGCCCCAGTCAACTCCATAGGACCTGCTCCAAGGCTAGAGTCCAACTTAGAGTGAATCTGAGTGACTTTATTCAATAGATGCCCAGTACATTCCTCACAATGACCTTGCAAGTAGACCTTTGAGCCAAGCTTTCCCAAGAATGGGAAAGAGTTGCATTGGTGCTAAGTTATGCGGCCCTTTGCAATACAGCTAGGTTCCTAAAGGAAAAATAATGTTTTTACCAATGTGGAGTTCCTTGTAAGACTCCATTTCCTTCAATTTCTGTGTTTAGTTCAGCCAGCTGCACAGCTAGTTCTTTCTCTACCTGCTGGACTCTCTCGGTTGAAGAGATCTTGTAAACTTCATCCATTTTGTCTTGCAACATAAAGAGAAAGTGTAGATAAAGTTATTATTTAATATTTAATTTTCAATAATAAATATGGTTTCATAACCAAATATTTTCAAAGTGAGTGCATAAACATAATCTGTTATGTACACAAACCAAAGAAGAAATCAGCTATACCATAATTCATGATGGATATTTGTTTCTCTTCTTGCATGAGGACAAAAGATCCAGTAGAAGTATAACTGCTTTTTCATGCTAACTGCCCAATTTATGTATTAAAACAGTACATGACACAAAAGTAAAAAGGCCAGTTACTTATATATTTTAGTGGCATTGCTTTTATTTGCATTGTTAATTGCAACAGAATACCTTCAAGCTGCAAATGCGCACTCTCTTCTTTCTGTTACATTCTATTACCTGAAACTGAGTTGGCATTTTAAAGAACCAAAAGAGCATCTGGAGTAGCTATCTCTAATGGTGAAAGCTGGTACTGCACATCTTCCAGCTGCAATTCCAGCTGTGGTCATCATCCATAAAGCCCTACATAGCATAGGACCAGGCTATTTGCAGGGCCACCTGGCTCCATTTGTCTTCGCCCCACCAGAACTAACAGGGAGGGCATGCCTTCTATTAAGCAATGTCATCTTGTGGTGCTGTGGACTTGTGCCTTCTCTGTCCTGCCCTATGGAACAGCATCTCTCCAGAGATCTGAATGTCCCTGTCCCTGTTAGCATTTGGTAAGGTGTTAAAGATCTGGCTGTCCCCCCAGGCATTGGGGGGGTTGGTTAATGTTTTGTATTTTAATGAGTTGGATTGTGCTTGTGACCTTGTGCATTATGGTTATTGTTAAATTGTTGTTTTTAACCCTTGTAAACCCCCCAGAGTGACTTTTGTGAGATGGACAGCCCTATAAATGGTTTAAATAACTAACTAAATACATTCATATTCTTTTTTGCACAGATAAGACTTTTGGTTAGGATTGTTAGAGTTAATTTAGACCACGTACGTCTAAATGTATACCATGTATGTCTACCTATATGTTTGCTAAGTGAGTTCTTATATTTGGTGGTTCTAATCTGAATTATGTTTTACAATCAAATTCCTTCTAAATTTATTTCACACTAACCTCGTAGACTCTGCACAGGCAGAGGCTATATTAATACAATCCCCCACTACACCAGCTTTTCCTAATCAGGAAAATATATGTGGACTCCCACTCTGGGGGTTCTTACTCATGGCCATGTTGGGTAGGGAATTCTGGGAGTTGAAGCTGCACAGGTTGGGCAAGGCTGTATTAAGCCAAAACCAAACCAAACATTTAGTGGCTGACTATTTTGTGCAAAACAGTATAATCCACTTTATGTGTTTTGTTTTGTTTTGTTTTTGGTTTAGTGCGGTGTCCGAATCAGCCCATTAGGATTTGTTCAACACGCTATGGATTAAAAAGGTCCCAGCTCAATATTTGTGGAAAATACCCCCAATTATATTGCCTTTGTGGAACAGGACATATCACCAGCCTCTGCTCCTTCAAAAGTCTCAGTAGTAGTTCTGATTTGACCAGCCTCAGCAACTCTTCCTTTGTCTTAGGATATTTCCACACCTGGGGTTTGTACCACCAGCTTCAAATTCACCTCAGCATTTGCATGCAGCCACACAAATGACCACAACAGTCCGCAACTGAGTCGGCCAGTGCTCTCTCTACATGGCCAGTGAAGGAGCACAAAAAATGGCAGGTAGCCGGCACTCTGCCCCACCTTTAATTGTTGCCTTGCTGTGTTTGCGCGCCATAGTGAGGAAGCAAGGAAAATCAAAAACAAAAAACAGGCTATAGTGTAGGGAGATATCTAGGTAATATTCATGCGGCTGAGTTGCTGATGAATAAAAGTTTGCAGAACTTGCTTGTGCAAACTTATCTGCTGTCCAAAACGTTTTGGGCATGAAAGTTATCACTAGTGGTGGGCAAAAAAGGAACAAGAACTGGCTTTGACATTTCATCCCACTTTTCTACTTTTAAAAAAGCCACTAATACTGCTTTGTATACTTTTAGTTGCATTGTTCAAAAAAAAAAAAAAAGAGAGAGCTCTGATTTTATCACAGCTATATACAGGTACATTTGCATTAACTGCCACTTTGGGCTTCTTTTATGTCAGCAATGGAATAGGAAAGGGAAGGCTATCTGCAAAGTATCCTTTAAAATCTTTTCTTGGCTCATTTGTTGATAGCGTATTCACCCAAATACCCAGAAAATGGCCATTGGTTGATAGTACTAACTACTATAACATCATTGTAGTTTATTCCAACCAAGCTAAAAGCTAATTATGACCTTCATGTGTGGAAGGTATGTATGTATGTATGTATGTATGTATGTATGTATGTATGTATGTATGTATTCATTCATTCATTCATTCATTCATTCATTCATTCATTCATTCATTCAATTTCTAGGTTGTCCCCTTCCAAATGATTCTGGGCAGCTTCACAGAATTAAAAATGATACCATACAAACAACTATGTCCATAAAACAGCAACCATTCAGGGAACAAATCTATCCATCCATATCCTTAGCAGCTCATAGTATCTGTCCCTCTATCTCAACCCAAGGTCTCACGGAAAAGGTAATTTTCGAAGGAACAGGCACAGTGGGGGAGTGCCTATTCCTTTAAAAGCCTCTCTCAGGAGCCCAGTTTCCATCAGATGGTGTTTACATAAACAGAGATGAGGTATTTTCATGTCACATACTAACTGGGTTCACACATCACACAAAGCCATTATTGGTTTTACAATGTCTCACTGAATAAGGCATAATTTAGCAAGGTTGTGCAAACTGTAATCCATAAAATATGGCTTACACATTACAATTTCAGACATTATATTAAGCCCAAACCAAACCCAATCAATTATGATGTGTGAACTAAACTGTTATTCATTCGCAATACAGCCATTGCATTGGACCTCATTAATATGAGATCCACAACATCAGCACACTTTATAGTGCACAAAAGAACTTTGAAAGAAAAGCAATATACTTATTCCTGGACTATTCACAGAACCCAATCCAGGTTTTGATAGGCCTACAAATTCATTTTAGCAATTATATATAGGATAATAGGATAGTTCATTGGGTACTGAGATGATTCCTGTTTTATGTTGGAACATACCAGAGATTCCTTATTGAGTACTGGTAGAGAATAGTTCATAAAGGTCAAAAATTGACTTAATATATCTGTTACCTCAAATGGCAAGTCCATGCTAAATTCTGCCCACTGCTTGGTCTTACTGTGTTGTAATATGCTGTGATTTAATTTATATGTTAACTTCCTTTCAGTTATTATTACTGTTATTATTATTATTGTTGTTGTTGTTGTTGTTGTTGTTGATGTTATTTTATCCTGCCTTTTTTATACATTACTCAAGACAGCAAACATACCTAATCACTTGTACCAAACCAAATCAAATCAAATCTTTATTATGGTCATAGACCAGCATAGTCACTTGTGTCAAAGGCTTTATTTCGAAAATTACATGGAATTGTCCATTTCTACTCTTCGAGTATGACTCCATAGTCCCAATACTTTACTTATTTGAACTACTGCAGCTTTTACATGGGAACTGGCTCTCTATGTGATTTCAGTAGCATAAGCTCTATAAATTATGTGGATTCCAATTTCATAGTCTGCAGCTGAACCCACATGTACAGGTAATTTTCTACTGACTTCTGGAAAACTTTGCACACATCCTTTTTTCCTGACATGTTGCCCAAAGCTACACAAACAACATATCAAACTGGGAAAATGCAGTGCAATTTCTTTGCAAAAAGGACTGCATCTAATTAATATATAAATTGAAACTATGAGGGATTTAACATTTATCTTAAGCATGTTTCTTAAATCAGAGTAACTGCTCTGCCAAGACATAGAAATACCTTAACAAAATAATTTCCCCTATTTTCCTATGAAACACGTAAGCTTTTTCTTTAAACAATAGGTCTACTATATAAATTGATGCTTACAGGATTTTCAAGCTGCTGGTCACAATTTCAGAAATCACCACTGATCAGTTTTCCTCTCCCCCTGAAAAAGCCACAGGCATGACTGAGTTAGCTGACTTAGGTAATGAGATTAAGAATGATACCATGAAAGCATATATAAGATTTCAAAATAGACATGATTAATACTAGGAAGCATGCCTATTCCACTTAAAAACAAACGAAATTGAAATGATCTTCATTATGATGAGGGAGGGGAGGGGATAGGAAGGGAGGGAGGGAGAGAATAAAAAAGAGAAAATATGTCAGAATTTCTTCTCCAATCATCTTAATTTTTGAGGCATTTAAATGGTAATTCTAAAAATACAGTATATTTAACCCCCTTCAGAAAACCATTTTTCTCTTTACCTTCCTTATGATCAAAATTGTTGTCTGTTAGTTTTGATTACTGTAGTTGTTTCCTTGGCAGAGCAATAATAGACTTGCTTCTATATATCACTGAGGTCTAGTACAGAAAGTGAACTTTTCTTCTTGAAAGTCTTTCATATGCAGTCATTTTAGCATGAATTAACAAGGAAATGCACTTTCTGAGATAAATAAAACAACTAATTTGCTATGGTTTTTTTTTTTAAAAAAAGGTTTGCCCTGTCTTAGAACACATAGCTTGAGAGCATACGATACCTGGAATCAATAGAAAGGTCACAACTTCACAAGCACAGAAGATAAACAGCCTCCAGCAGAGCAAAAAGAAGTCAGTTGTGTTATTAGAAACAGTAGCAGCAAACGACATCTCCCACAGGTTTCTATAGCTAGTGTGATCAAAACTAAAGATGCAATACAGTAGAGCCATTCATCAGAGTGCTTGGGTAGGCTTAGTGGTAACCATAACAACATCTCTACACATAAGCTGAGGGCTGAAAAAATAATTTACTGGGCTCCAGACTAACGGGTGGCACATTGAACTATTTTAACCCAAAAATGACCAAATAAATAAATAAATGGGGCCCTTCCACACAAATGGGAGAAACTATATTTTGCTGAGTTCTAGAGACAGGTAAAGCCAAACAAAAGATTAGTAGGCCTGAGTGAGGCTGCAGATGCCCAGAATATTTGTATAGACAGTTCTGTTTGGAAGTTAAATGTCACAAATGAAGCCCTTTTGAAATACTGACTCAAACGACTACAAAACCACATCATGGCATCTTCATACATTTGCTTATTAAGAGCTTGTTTGCTATCAAGTATTAAAATAATAAAAGTTGCCTTTGATAACTGAGTTACCTTCAACTGGTTCCCTTTCCCAGGTCATTCTGCTGAAGCACCCAATTTCTCCTCTCTGGGGTGTTCAGAGGTGATGTGGTTAATTCTTGGAGTGCTAAACAGGGGAGAAGAGAGCAAGGAATTCCCTGTGAACCTCTGCATTCTCCTGTCCCAGATAAACTTTTTTTTTTTTTTTTAGTATTTATACTCAGTAGTACCAGGGCTCTTTATTTTGATGAAGATTTAACACAAGGCAATGGACATGTGTCAGTATGCTCATGTAACACCTCTGCTTCATGAGCTGCACTGCTTGCTAATTGCTTCTGGGTGTGATTCAAGATGTTGGCCGTTACCTATAAAGCCTACACGGCATAGGGCCTGGTTACTTGCAGGGCCACCTGTCTCCCGTAGTATCTGCCCAGCCAATTCAATCCTGCAGGGTTGGTGTGCTCTGGGTTCCTTCAATTAAACAATGCCATCTCTTAGGATCCCAGAAGTGTGCCCTCTTTGTAGCAGTGCTTGCCCTGTAGAATGAGCTTACCTCCAAAATCTGGATGGCCCCCCCCCTCTGCTGTTGTTCAGAACAGTCATAAGGACCTACTGTAGCTCTTTGCTTAGGCTTTTGGCAAGGATGACTGAAGCCTCCTTTTAACCTAACCAAAACCTTGTTTTCTTTTGTTTCCACCCGGTTTGTTATTCTGCCATCTCTACTATTTTTTTTATTGGCTTGTTTTTATCTTTTAAATCATTTGTAAAATGCCCAGAGTTGCTGGGAGTCAGGTGGCATATACATTTAAATAATGATGTTAATAATAACCACCACCTCTCCTAGGGAGAATTTAAATGCCAAAGCAGCCCAGAGCGTACAAAAGTTCAGTTTCTTCATCCTTTGGTAATTTGGAGATATAATTTATCAACAAAGCTAAATAAATTCTGCCATCAGTACTCCAAGAATTTTACCCAATTTTGGTGGACCAAAACAGCAATAGTACACATTACACCTCCATACGTTAAAATACTAAAATAAGTCAGTAGTACAGATACTTCTTGAGTGTTTTCTAATGGCCTTGTTCCTTATACGGGAAATGTCGTCTTCTTTTGTTATTCTACACATGATTCAGAAACTGTTAAAAAACAGAAGAGGGCTACTAACAGTCTGAAGAAGTGTATAATTCCATTGAAGAACTTGGCTACATTATTTGAAAAAGAAATGAAATCAGACTTCAATCTTGAACAAACAGGAGAGAAGCACAAGTTGCTTTGTGGGGTTGATCACTGACCCAGTCTAACCTAGCACTATATGACTGATGGAAATTTAAGACTTTGTATGTCCTAAAAGCAAACAGATAGTGAATTAAGCATAGAACATCTATAAGCAAATATGTATCAATCCCAAATCTGATTCTGAAACCTGTTAACCAACCAGGTACATCCCAGCTACCTCTACCTAGATGTTTTTTGTTTTGTTTTATGAACTCTACAAGGCTGGCATTTTAATGTGTAATTTTTTGAGCTAGCATAGCAAATGAATATAAATCTGTAATTGATTTGTATGAGATGAAAGACGGAGAGAATCTGAATGTGGAACAGATAATTTTTAATACTATCAGGAGTGGATCTTGGGGGGAAAAGGGACATGGGAAAATTAGTGAAATAAGTGAAAATATGTCAGAAATAGACATTACATGTCTTGTATTTTAAAAATTAGAAGATAAATCTCCTAACAGAATGAATGGGAAATGGACATTACAAAGACATGGAATTACAGTATACTAATGGAATATGTAAAAATAATACTTGGTGGCATAGCATGAGAAGCTGTGGATGAGAAAAAACACATTTTTTGCACAATAAAAAATCACTGCAAAAATGGGGATGAGACAAAGATATAGAAAGTGTATAGAAAGACAGAGTTAATTGAAAAGAAGGTAATCAAAGAGAGCAAGGAACTATTAAAAGAGGCAAAGAAAATGCAGAGATTTTGATGGAAATATATCAATGTTTTAGAAGTGGGTAACATGGGCTACTCAAGAAGCCTTCAGCAGAGTGAATGGAATTTTTAAAACAGTGATGAAATGATCTGAGATGAAACCGAAATGAAGGAATGCTAGAAGGAATATTAGACATTTGTGTGGGACAGATAATAAGCCAAACAGTAAAACAAACAAATACTATAAAAATTAGTCCCCAAAAATATTGATCAAAAGAAAGTCAGAAATGCTGTGAGAATGTTGAAAATGGATATATAGGACATGGATATATCCTATCTATCTATCTATCTATCTATCTATCTATCGATCGATCGATCGATGGATGGATGGATATGTAGATGCAGTTTATTTATGGAATGGCTGTGCAAGTAGTGTGAGACTGCCTATGTATCTGACAGTTGGAAGAATGCCATTGTTCTTCCCCTATACAAACTGTAAGGTTGTAAAAGGTGACGTAAAAAGTGATAGTGAGCTATGTTTCCTTTTCTTATTTCATAGTTTTAATCTCTTTGACTATTTCTTATTCCCACAAAGAATAGCATGATGGGTATGTAAGAATACTGCTTAGATAAGTAGGCATACAGTTTAAGTCTAGACCTGAATGGTGACGACTTTTTTTCAGATTTGGAAGTTTACTGGGTTTACTGAAAATATAAATATTTTATAGAAATAAAACAATAAACCACTAGATATTTTTTAAATCAACCCAGAAGCAAAATAATACTTTTTGTTCAAAGTCTCTCATGAAAGTATTGAAAGGAACATAATAATTTGACTACATAGAGTGATAGGTCCTTTAATTAAAAATAGCATGCATGCTTCATTAAAATAATCAGTTGTATTTTTAAATGTCAGTACAGAAAACAGGGAACTTACTTATCCCACATCTTATTCTCAGAGTTAATGGATACACTACTAAGGCAAACCAAACTTATAAAATCAAATCTCAAGTGATGTATGAAATCAGTTTTGAGAGCTATGATTCCCACACAATATCATCTTTCTTCAATACTGATTGAAGCTTCTGAGCGCTTTTTAATAGCTGAAGTGAACTTGTGGTTTTATTTGTGGAACTGGTACTTGGAGGGATTGCAGTCTCTTTGCTTCCTTTTAGTTCATTAGGCCTTGATGCCGAACTTGTTGGTTTTCTCTTCAGTTTTTGAGCTCTTTGTTTTAGTTTATAAACCTAAATAAAAGAAAAATCACACAGTAATTCTGATATGCAAAGACTTGCTCACTTTGCCCTAGCAAAGCTTGTCAAGTCTTTTTTCATACCAAGACTGGCAATATATTTTTACTGCCCGCTCAGATATATTTAGGTATGATATAGGAAGGCAAGAAAAGGCATTCTCAATTGTTTTTTGTTACAGTTTTGGAATATGGTATAATGGTTGGTTTTAAGTGCAAGGATTAAATGGGTAATAAGATTTTAAAGGTTATATTTGAAGAAATGAACCCAAGTAATACTAACAATTGATTTAATAACATTTCACAATGGCGTGACAATGCATATTATTCAGCAAAGCAACAATGTATGTCAATTTTTGAGCAGATATCTAGTCCTTAAAAAAGCAGATACAAATCCTTTTAAACATATTATTAAGTGGTATTAAGTTGCATTTTAATTTTAAGAAACAAAAAACTGATCTGGCCTATTGGCACAACTCTTAGCGTCTTCCAGTGCTTCATTATCATAGCTTTAATGAGCTGAAGACACCTTAAGTACACAACATGACAGGAAATAAGAATATACTATGATGTAGCTTTTTGCTTACTAAAAATGGATGGATTGAAGCACTGATAATTTTTAAATACACAAGAATTATATCAGAGCAGTGGAAACATGTAGTTCTTCAAATAATAAATATACCCAGTAACCAGTACATTCTTCCACTTGGAAGTATTTGGTCCTATTTTACGCCCAAACCTATTTTGCTCTGTGAGGGACAAGATCTGCCAAATTAACATTAGAAGATTTTGGTTTTTTAAAATGTTTCTTGATCTGTAGTTATCATCAACCACTGAACTAGAATTACACATGAGATGTGTGCACAGACACCTTTATAATGGAACATATTTATGGGGGGCTATTTGGTGAACAACAGGATAGGGGTGGTGGGAGAGTTGCTTAATTTCCTCCACCTAAACATATTTTGTCCTTGGATAAAGAAAAGATCTGGAGACTCCATCTTGTCCTCCCTGTCCTATATGAGATTAGCTATGGAGGTATGCAGTCCAGAGTATATTCTCCACAACTCATCACTACTCTCCGGATACATTCATATCTGTCTCATCAACATAATTTCATATAATTTCTTTCTCAGTTTCTTTTCTTTCTCCAAGCATCACAGTAGCTAAGTACTGGCTTTCTAACAAGGCACATTCTAACTAATCACATCTCTTGATTTCAGAATTGTTCACTTACATGATCCTGGTGCTTTTTCAGTTTCGTAATCTGTTCTCCTTTAATTTCCATCTGCTTCACAAGACAATCCAATTCACGTTCTAGGTCTTCCCTAATGTCCTGGTTTTGACTTTCCTCTATCTGCTTTGACAGTTCTTGATGTTCACTGTTGAAGACAAACTCCTATCAGATGTTTAAAGACAATTTAGGGTTCTTTCTATGACTACATTTTGTTTATTCATCCTTGTAGGTTTATTTATTACTTGTATATCAAGTCTCACAAAATAGTGAAGTCTAAATAATGAAAAAGGATATTGCTTTATTTCAGAATTTAAGAGTCTTTTCTGCAGTGTCATATGCCTTCCTTGGGCAGAGCAAGACTGACATTCTAAAGTGCTTCTCAGAAAATATGTAGTCTCTTAACATAATTTAAATGCCCTAATCTTTATGTGGATATTACTTGAGCAAAGTAGTTCCAAATTTCAAGTTTTGTACAGATTATTTGGGCATGAGAAATAAATACAGTTAATAAGTGTTACTGCATGAAATTCCAGATGCTATAGGAAAAGCAGAAGAATTAAAGAGATGAACATTTGCAGTTGAAACTAGACAAATGTTATTTATGCATGCACTTGAACACCCGACTAGGAATGTATGTGACTTACAAGTTTATTGTTTTATAACAATAAGAAGCTTGTAAGTCACATAAATTCCTAGTAGGGTAAATCACAAATAATGCATTAGTTATTTTACCTTAGTAAAGTAAATCATAAATAACATATAGCAGCCGAGAAAAATCAACCAACCACAACAACTAATATAGCCATGATGAGAGCGAATCTGATCTTCAGGGGAATGATGTTCCAGAGGGCAGGCGCATGACAGAAGGCTCTGTTCCTGCATCCTACCAGATGACACTCCCTAACAGACAGGACCCAGAGCAAGCTTCTCCTACCAGATCTAACAGAATGGGTAGATACAACTGGGGAGAGACGGTCCCACAAGTAACCTGGCCCCAAGCCGTGAAGAGCTTTAAAGGTAACTACAAGCACCTTGAATTGAACCCAGAAACATAGTGGCAACCAATGCAGCTCATGAAGCAGAGGTGTCACATGTGCCAAATGACAGGCGCCCGTAACTGCCAGCTCCCATTGTTGCGTGTTATCTCAATAACCCATAACTGCCTGTTATCCTGCTAAGAACTTCAGGATGACTTGTTGCTTTCAATAACTTGCCTCTGAAGTTCAATCCTGCTCCTACAAACATTGTGGCTGTGATCAGAATAGCTATTTAAGAGCATCTGTTTTTTTTTTTTTAATATTTGATTAGGATCAACCCATGTACCATATCACTACCTGCTTTTACAAAGCAATTTGCCATTTACCACATGTGTCTGTGTGTGGGATGGGAGAGAGGGAGAAGTATTACTTGCTTTTTATGTTGCCCCATTATCTGATAGGTGACAGGAGATCAAAAAGTATTTGTTGCATTACTTGTTAAAGTGCCCATTGATACCAGAGAGATTGTTTGGAAAATTGTACACAAATACTTACAAACTCATTTGTCCCAACTCATCTTGCATACCCAAAAGAAGATCAGAAAGAGTTTCAGTAGCAGAGGAAGACGTGGAACAAATCATTGGTTTGCAAACACCAGTCCATCTTGAAGTCCTCTTTTCAGTTCCTTCTGGACACTGTGAAGTCATACATGGGCTACGGTATTTCATCATATGCAGGACACTTTGTACATTTGCAACAACAGAGTGACTTGAGCTGGCAGACTTGTGGGAGAAATACCAAAAGTATAAAATTTTGTTAAACAAATAATAATTTAACCAAATTCTCATTTACAAGGACACAATGCTTACCTTCCCAGCAACAAAAGGCAGCATTCCACCCTGTAGGCATGGTTGCGAGCCATATGTTCTCCTCATACCAGAATTATTCTGAAAATTAAAACCTGGATTTATTATTCATTAGAAAGAAAGAAGTGAGGCCCTAAACTTAATTAAAGAAGGGAGACTAATGAAAACTATATTTATTAAACCTATGTCTTACTACTTTTAAGAGAAAGACTTGAAACTTTTGTTTTGAGACTTGACAAAATATGAAAGATTATAGCTTTTTCTTTAGAATGTTTAAGTTTTATGACATCAATATTCAAAGTATTAGCTATAGGGAAATATTTTAATCCTCTTCTTTGTTCCTTGTTTGCCAGTCCTTCCCTTTCTTTATAGCCTTCTTGCATCCCTTATCAAACACTTCTTGAATGTTTCCCCAAATCTCAGAGTAATGGATGAAGAGTGTTTCATAAGGAAGGAGACAAGAAATCATACGCACAGATGGAAAACTAGGTGCAATTTAAGAAGTCAGATTAAGGCTCAGACTTAATCATATGTATTTACTAAAATAAATGGGACTTAAAATTAATCATAGCTTAAACTGACTAATCCAATCTGCCTAAATCCAATTTATTTCAGTGGGTCATTTTCAAATATATTTGAGACTTGATTCAATCTAGTTTTTTTTTTTTAATTTAAGAGAAATTCGGTCAAAAAGCATTTCAAATAAAATGTATCATTTTGAAAATTAGAAAAACCATAATATGTCTAATGGAAATGCTGTTTTGGGATAATGCCCAGAAAAAGATTGAAATCCAATTGGAAGGCTTAACTAATAGCCTAATAGTTTTGATTTATTTCTTGCAAGCAGAGTTTATGTTGCAGTTTTCTTTACTGAAAGACCAGAAAAAAATGTTCCTTTTAAATTTTATAAAATTAGTGAGGCTTGTTGCTCAAACTTTCTGCAATTATGGACAACTATAAAAACACTTGGAAAATATTTTTTTGAACTTAAGAGTAAAGGAGTTTGCATTAATTGGCAAATAAAATAATGATTATAGGCGCTTTTGTGTATGCCTTTCCATCTGCTTCGTGTTTATAAAGGCCTTTTAATCTACAAAAATCCAAAATTAGGTATTTATCTACCACTTGAATTATTTTATGTATTCCACCCCTCCAATGAGCCATTATGTTGAACTGGTGTTCCTCTAGTACAGAAGAACACATTACAGTTGAAAATGGTGTCTGAATGCAGGATTCAGGTTATGAAAATCTCTTCGGAGCAAGAAGAGATTGGAAGGTCACCAATACATACTCCGTACAGCTGGGGGTTTTTTGTGAGCAGATAGCAGGAGCTGTGTTTTTTGTGGTCACATTGCGATTGGCTGAGAGTTATGGGATTTCATCATGCTTATAGCTGCTAATATCATCTATATGGACATTAAGTTTGAGCAAGGCTCATTTCTTAATCACTTTGGATTTAATTTTTTTTCTTTGGCTTTTTTTTTTTTTTAAAGATTGAGAACATTCAGACCCACAAGTTTTATTGAAATAACTGTGTGAGTTTCTTTCAATCCGTTAAAAAGTTTAATTAGAAGGTGTTATTGAAGCTGAATAAGCCCCACTGAATAAAACTGAAATTGACTTACAGGTGGATTTAAAAATTACAGCCTACAAGAAAGAGATGGAAATAATGGACTTACAAATGAAATTGGATGATGATTTAAAAATTAAAAAAGATATACAAATAATAAATCAGAAGAGTGATGTGGATTATTTTCTTATATTGGATTTACAAAAGGGATTTGCTGGACTTGCCACACTGGAATTACAAAATGGGCCTGACAAAGATAAGAACTTTGAAAGAAGAGACAAAGAGAGTATGAGAAAGCAGATATTAGAACTTTATTGGAGCAATTTAAAGATCATTGGGAAAAAGAAGAATACAACATTGGTTATATCAAGGCTAAAATAATGTGTTGCTATTTCTGATAATGTTTAATGGTCTTTTGATTGGGACTGGATGATGATGGTTATTTTTGGTAATGTTTGTTTTTTGGACTGGGAATGTACTTTAACTATTTGAAGAGAAGAAATAGGGGGATCTGTTTAAATAGATATGGAGATATAAATATAAAAGGAAAAATTCAAATTGGGTGTAATAGATATAGTTTGTAATACTTATGTTATTTCTAATAACCCTTACTGGATTTTTGCTGATTAATACGGAGAGACAAGGGTTTACAGAAAGATTTATAGAGAATGGGGTGAGATATGGAACGAAGAAGTGTTTGGTATTAGTTTAAGAGATAGTGATAAGTTGTTAGTGTAGATTATACTTGCTGGACATGAAGAGGGGGTTCTTTTTCTATCTTTTTCTCCCCCCCCTTTTTTTCTGCACTTTACATTTTTTTCTTTAATGTATCTTTGTATTATATAGTTTATCTTTGTATTTATGTAGTTTAAATAATCTTTAATAAAATTATTGGAAAAATTATTTTATGTATTCCATGCCATAGTAATACAACTCTTAAAAGAAACTTTCCAATCAAGAATGCTCTTCATAAAATCTTTGAGTGTTAAATGACTAGGGGTGAGGGACTTTCAGCCTAATGAAATCTCATTTTAGGTACTTATTATCCTATTTCTTCTTTGTACTTTTAACAGTTCCATTTAATTCAGCTCATATGGACCCAAGAACTACATTTGAAATTTGTTTATTGCTGTTCATTGTCTGAATTTTAGTACTCATCTTGCTACTTGGTTTATCAGTTTCATGCTTCAGTGAACTAGGTTTCAGCCACTTATGAACCAGGATGTGCAGGGAAGCCAGGGCTGATGCTGCAAGCAGGCTCTGGCCTAGGAACATGGGGGGTTGCAGTGGAGTCTCTGTGGGCCAGACATGCTTTGATGGAAGCATATATGGAACAGTAGTTTCTGAAAGTTTAGGTGATTGTGAAGTTAATGAAATTTAACTATTAAGCGTATTCAAAAGTTATTTGAATTTCAAATAACTAATTAACATAAAATATTTTTAGAGGATAATCCCCCCTTTTTCTTCAGTTGTACTATTTTAAGATCTGAATAAGTGAATTCATTATTTTCTGTACTAAACACTGATACCTGTATTTTTTATTATTGTTTACTGTATTGCATAGCATCCAGATAGAAATGGAACTCTGCAACTAATTCAGACACACTGAAATTACTGGGACTTCTTTAACTTGACCAGTTTTTTAATACTGCCTGTAGGAGCATTCTGAATGTCTTATCATGAACCTCCAATTCTAAATAACTGGAATACTAGCAGTTATCTAATCTGAGAGATACTAGCCTTATATAAGGAAATGGCGAATTCAGGCGAATTCATTTGAAAACTACAACAGACTAGGATCTATTAAACACAGAAATCATTTGACGCATTTTACATTTCTTTGCTGAGATTAAACATTCATCTTGAGAGGCACTCTTAGGAAACCTGCATTGTGGAAAATAAATGGAACGTTGTCACTTGCCTAACTATATTAATAATAACATAGTATTATTAATAATATGACTGAAAACTAATATGTTACCTTGATGACTTTCTTCTTCCTGCTTTTCTTCTTCACATCTTTTTCAGGTGAAAGTGAGGACAAGAGTATTCTATTCATTTCAAGACCTGTCTGGAGCTATAATAAAAATTATTAACAGCTAACAGTCAGATAAATATCTAAATGTACAGATAAGATGAAAAACATATATAAGATACAGACAGGAATTTCATAATGTGATATAACAGCTCCCTGGAAAAATACCTTTAAAAATTTACTTTGCATGATCCATCATAGAAGCAGTACAACTTACAGTAATGAAGAATAGCTTACTGCCAAATAAGTTAAAAACTACACTTTTACACTATATTAGCCCAGAACTCTTGCCAGCTATTTCATGCCTAAGCTTATTAACAATATCTGTTTGGGATAAAACTATTATTTCCATCACAGTATCAAACCAAATAATAATGTTTGACAGGAACCCCCCCCCCACTTTTTTTGTTTTTTTTGCAATCATTGCCTGCTAAGAAATCTGATGGGCTGCATTTTTTGAACCATAAAACTGAATGGTGACCTATATTAGCCCAACTCACTCTTAGAGTATATTTTGAAAAGCTTCCTGAGAATCCTAACAATGTCCCTTACATTTTGACAAATTTTGTAGCAAGTAACTTTAATTAGCTGAGATTCAAGTCCAGTTATCTTATTGGGGAAATGACATGAGACTTATACGGATGCTGAATTTAAAAACAGGAATGTATTTTTGACAATAGCGTTCAAGCTAACACCTCCAACTGCAGAAATAACATGAAAGCCATATTATAAAATATTCTTAAACATGCAATATTGCTGACAGTTAAATTAACATAAAATCCTGGCAGATAAACTAGCACAAGGCCTTGTCATGAGAATAGCTGTTATCTCCCTACTGATAGCAGCCCAGAGAAAGCATTTTGAAGGAGCTGAGTTTCCAAATATGACAACATTCTTCAGCAAAAGCTGATTAACAGTTTGTTGTCCACAGGTCCTTTTGTTTTTATGCACTACAGCAATATCACTACTGATTTTCCCTACCTGTGCAGCTTTATCTTGTATTAGCTTGCGCTGATGCTGTTCTTCCTGAAGCTTCTGTTCTAACTGTTTCATCTTTTCCTGAAAAAAAATCACAAAAGATTGGATGGAGAGCTTGTAGGCTGTATGCAGTTCACCATTTATAGCCTTTAGGGTCCCCAGAAGGGTGAATTAAAACTAAAGTGGATGATGCCCAAGGTTCCATACTGCGATCAAACAGAGAAAAAACTTTCTGTTAATTTTCCCAAGCCAAATTGCAGTTGATAGAGAAGAGGCTGGGAGGGATCGCAACATTCAAGAAGGGCATTATCATCCTCTTATGGCCACTTCGAAAATTCCCTCATTAGGTACAGAGAACCAAAGGCATGCTCTGAGACTGTATGAACAATGCTGTAATATTTTCTTACTTCTGCAGTTTTCTGAGTGCTAATAAGTCTCCAACATTGTTTTTCTAGAACTTCAAGTTTTTCAAGTTTTGCACATAGCTCCATCTGATTTTGGTCATCTTCTTTCTGAAGATGTGTCTGTAAAATATGCGCAAAATATGCAACTGGTACCAAACCATATTTAAACAACTTATACTTTAAGATGAATCAACAATCCCACAAACAATGGCAGATATAGGGGTGATATAGCAAGCACAGTAGGTATGTGAGAGGAAGCTTAGATATGTGGCACTGTTTGTACATATAAATGTTGCCCATGGAAAGATTTCTGTGTATGACTGGGTGTTGAATGACAAGTTGACAAAGAATGGACATATATGTGACTTGTGTTACAGGGGTATAGTAGGTAAATGAAATGCATATCCCAACAACAATTCACAACAGGGGCAGGAACATATATAAATGGGAATCTCTCTCTTATATACAATCTAGATCCATTGCTAACAGCTCATACCTATTATTACTGATAAATAGCATCTACTTGTAGCCATTTATCTCTGGATCACAATTCAAAATGCCAACTTTCAATACATTACAGGTAGTCCTTGACTTACGACCATTTGTTTCCCAACCATTCAAAATTACGAAAGTGCTGAAAAAAGTGACTTACAACTGGTCCTCGCATTTACGACCATTGTAGTGTCCCTGCGGTCACATGATCAAAATTCAGGTGCTCGGCAATCAGTATGTATTTATGGCAGTTGCAGCGTTGCAGGGTCACATGATTGCCATTTGCGACCTTCCCAAGGGGCTTCTGACAAGCAAAGTCAGCGGAGGAAGCTGGATTTGCTTAACAGCTGTGTGACCGCAGGAAAAAAGGTCATAAAATTGGGCATGACTTACTTAACAACTGCATTGCTTAACAAAGGCAGCTCTGGTCCCAACTGTGGTTATACGTTGAGGACTACTTGTAACTGGTTTCTTTCAGCAAGCACACATTCAAACCTCATTTATCTATAGGCAAGGTATACATGCATTTCTTCAGCATCAGAGTCATTTTTGACATGTATAGTTAAAAATTAAGCAACAAATCCCACAGAAAAGAATATTTACATTTTAAAACTTATTTAAAATATTTTATTCTGCTTTTCAGCTAAAACATGTTCAAAAAGCTTACACATTAACTTAATAAAGCTGAAAAGTGTAATATTAAAAAATCTGGGTAGAAAGCCTAGGTGAGCATTTTCATTTTTATTTCCAGCTATCCATCTGTTCAGGGGAGAAGAGTTAATATTTGTCATCTGTGAATTTCTCATGAGTTCAGTTTAATCAGCAGGTGGTTTTTTAGTGAAAGCTCAAGAATCTGCAAGAACTACATGCAACAGTAAATGCATGATTCATGTGCTACTGATTTGAACATGCAAGATTACAGAAGAAATCCACATCAAGAAACTAACACAAAACACCAAATGGAGAAATAAAAGTTAAGAATGAATTATTAAATTTGTGTACCTGCTGCTCCAGAACCAGGTTTTTTTCCAACTCTGCTTTGAGAACCATTTTTCTCATGTAATCAAGCTGCTTTTCCAGCAAAGAGCAGCGTGATCGTGCTGCCCTTAATTGTGCACTCACATCTAAGAGAAGGGGAAAAAGAGGGGAGGCAAATAAAAAGTTTTATTTCAAATTTCAGCTTTATAGTATACTTTGCAGCACATTACATAAAACACTGATTAAAAATGATACAACTATTTGCTTGTTTTGGTTACAGGTAGTTTCTTGATTTCACTGTGGCTAGAACCTAATATGCAGTTACACCATCTATCCCATTTTTGCTCCTAGTTGTATTATAGTATTTGCAATAGAGAAAAAAAAATTAACACCCTGGCCACTTCAGAACTTTATGAACTTACCAAGGCTTATTCATTCCCCACAAAAAAGCAATTGCTTGAAGCCTGCACACATTTAATTGTAGCGCTCTCTTTCATTAGGAATTGAAAAATCAAATTATATATATACTGTATGTATGTATGTATGTATGTATGTATGTATGTATGTGTATATATAGAGGGGGGGAGGGAGGGAGGGAGATAGTATATATAATTGTTACAATCTTTCTACAATTTCTTAAAATAATGTATAAACTTTTTTGTTTTAAATTTTTGATTACAAAAAGAAAAAAATACATAAAAGTGGTTTTAGAAAAAAGTGAAAAAATACAAGAAGAAAAAAATTTCAACATATTATAACAATTTCAATGCTATAGATCCTTATCTAATACAAATGTTATTCAAGTAGATATGTCAGAGTCTGCACACTCATTTCCCAAGTTCAGTAAATCCTCTGGACTCGAATTAATTCCATCAAAGATTTCTTTATTGAGAGTAGCATACAGTGTCTATAGATTGTTGAGTCTAACTTTTCCCAGCCAAAAGCTTTCCTTTTAACCCCCTTTCCCCCCCCCCACTCTCTTTTCCCGCTTGAATTCTTCACGCCTTTCTCCTGGTCTCACGACTGCTTGACCTTGTTGGTGCCTCTAGCCAAGATAATGGTTGCACCTGGCTTGGATATTTTC